ATAAATAAAAAGTCCAAGGGACTGGCGAGATGGCTCTGTGTATAAAGGTGCTTGTCACCACTAATCACTTGAGTTCAGCCTTATGATGGAACTGAAACCCACATGATGGAAGAAAAGAATTGACCTCCATGCACACACAATGGCATTCACATTCACATGTACACACAAACAATAAGTAAGTAAATGTAACTAAACAATACACTGTAAAGTCAAAGAATCTGAGTAACTTTATCAAGATCTGTAAAAGCAAAGAACCTGGGTCTGCCTGAAGCTTTGCTTATTTCATACATCATGTGTTCTCCTGAGTCTGGGTTACCTAATTTTCTTAGAAATTGAATAAGCAATGTGGCTTCCTGGGGTCATGAAAGAAACTTCTCACCTCCTTTTCCCTCTGCTGAAGGCTGAAAAGGCAGAGATCACAGGCCTTGCCTGTGGGCACAGGAAGGCAACCTCTCAGGGAGTCTAAGAGACAAAATGCATCTCTCATTCCTGAGCAAGTCAAGCAGTGGAAAAAGACTGAACTATAGTGGGAAAACGTGGACAGCCTTAGAGGGAACTTGTCACCATCTCAGGCAGGTGGCTGCATGTGCAGAGTCTGGAGCCTCAGGTAAAGCCAGGACAAAGGCTGGGATCTTCATGTTTATCTTCAGCCCTGATAGTGAGGAGAGCAGCCCGGCACCTTAAATGATGGAGTCAACCCTGCTCCACTCCTGTTGTCCTCACAGATCTCAACTGGGTTGGACGAGCAATCCAGGGTACAGAGCCCAGTTCCTATCCCAAGAGCTAGATCTTTGGAAAGTGGCATCGTTACTCCTCACTGTGTTATGAAAATGCCCGTAGCACAGCATAGCCTGGCAAAGCTGAGTCTCTCTCCCTGTAACCATCCCAGTAGGGGTGAAGCTATGCTGAGAGACACTTAGACTCTTCCTTTGGCTATCAGACTAGTGAAACGAGACATTGGAATCTCGTGCTGGGAGAGGGAAAAGCTGAAACTGGTATCAGCCAGTGGTGGAACTTGTCTTCCAAGAGGAGGTTTGGCACATTTCTGACAACTTGTTAGACCACCTTACAGGAGAGACTTGAAGCTGACAAAGACCCAGGAGTGAATGGTGGGTGGAACAGCACCTTCACAAGAACTGCTTATGCACACTTCTTGCTCTCTATTCAGAGCCAAACCTCGTGTCTGGACCAAGAAGACAGACTTGGGGCATCACTGCACCTTGCTATTCCTCTTTTCAATGTGGCCACATTGAATACATCTCTTTCTGATCTTTTCATTATTACTTGTCTGTTTAACTGGCTTATTGAAGAGAGTTTTTGACCCTAATAATGATATCTCTTCTCCTGCCATTTAATGCCTCTTTCTGGGGCTTACTGCGCCTCTGTTTCCCAATGGAACTCAAGGCAATGGATTTATTTGTCTCCTAGAATAAGGTGAATAGAGGTGGATGTTGAACTCTTCCTCATTTCTGCCTGTCCAGAGTCTCATCTCTTTTTGTCTATCTGTGGATTCTATTCTGTTGGTGGACTCATAGCTCCTGGAAACCTCTTAAAATATCTATCATCAATGTTTCATGCTAACCTGCCTCCCAGGACATTGAAGAAAGCCCAGTATATGATTCTGCAGTTTCCAGTTTACGTAACCCAGTCTGTCCTCCATCCTGTTGGACCTAAACTTTCCTTAACCTCTGAAGAACTTTCCAGTAGCCCCCTTTTTTTCTAGAAGACCCTGCAGCTAAGCATGTGGGGCATGAGGTGTATTGTAGTCCTTCCCAGAGCAAAGCAGACTCTTACTGCTTATTGTGTATAAGAAAGGCGACCTTGGGTTTTGTTTTTGTTATTGGCTGTTTTTGTACATAACCTGTTCTTTCCTGGCCTCAGGCTCCTCAGGTCTGAGTAGCTCTGACTAGTTCTTTCCTGAGACATTCCAGAGGCAGATGGCCACCCACTTTGTTACTGCTGGACACGCTAGAATGATCCATGAAGAAAGAATACCCATACCATGTTATTTTAGGATAACAACCAGTCAGAGAGATGTCATCATTCTTAGCTGGTTTAATCTTTGAAATTTTGTGGAACTCTAAAAAAGCACAAATTACAAGGCTTGAGATTATTCACAGATGTCCGAGACCAGTTGTGGACGTGATTATTCAGTAAAGGGGTCACTTAATCTTCCAAGGATGCCTATGATGTCCCTTGCTTCCTCCTTAGGTGAGCCGTACAACATCTCAACTCCTTCTGGCACTCTTTCCTGAGAGCACAGAGAAGGTAGGGGTGTGTATGGTGGGAAGGGGACTCAACTGAGTCATGAGACTTGAGCCCTGGAGAGCTGGGTTTTGTAATGCAATTATAAGAGGTGGCCAAAGAGAAGTCTAGTGTGAACTCACTGGACACAGGCTTAATGGTGTCTCTAAAGTGGTGTTCTTGGGTGACAAGTAGCAGTGGCCCCTTTGGAAGGAAGCACATATGTCCTTTAGTTATTATTTTACTTATCTGCATTTAAATTTTTCTGCCGGAACTCTCATTACTGGGATTATGGATATGATCCAGCATGCCCAGTTTATACACTCCTGGGGATGCTGGGGATTAAACTCTAGCACACATTCTGCTGATTGTGCTACACCCTCAGTTAATTATTTTTGCTTTTCACAATTTATGCCTCTAAAATGTCAAAGTTGCTTAAATATCTAATGATGGTATTTATTCATAGTTCTCTGGTTTTCTCTTCATTAAAGAAGTAATGTAGAACTGAGCTGTAGCTAGCTCAGGGATACTTGCTTAACATGTGTAAGACACAGAGTTCAACCCTCAGTGTGGTAAAGAAAAGTAAAGTGATAATAATGAATTGCCTTTAGGCTTGCGTACAGTGAGTTCACCAAGTGTGGAAGAATATGCTGTAATCTCAGTATAGAGACTGGATGATCGGGAGTTCAAGGTCATCTTCAGCTATAATACAGAGTTCAAGGGCCAGCCTAGGCTAGAAATCCTGTCAGAAAGAAGGGCAGGGAGGGTGAACTAGTTAAAAATGACTACTTAAAAATCATGGGCTAGCCGGGCGGTGGTGGCGCACGCCTTTAATCCCAGCACTCGGGAGGCAGAGCCAGGCGGATCTCTGTGAGTTCGAGGCCAGCCTGGGCTACCAAGCGAGTCCCAGGAAAGGCGCAAAGCTACAAGAGAAACCCTGTCTCGAAAAACCAAAAAAAAAAAAAAAAAAAAAAAAAAAAAAAAAAAATCATGGGCTAGTATGATCTTAGTGGGTAAGAGTGCTTGCTGCCTCTAGGCCTGACAACCTGAGTTCAATCCCCAGAACCCACAGTGGAAGAAAAGAACTGACTCCTGAAAATTATCCTCTGACCTCCACATGTACACCTAAATACACAGACACACACAGACACAGACACACACACACACACACACACACACACACACACACACACACACACACACACCACACCTACCTACCTACCTCCTTCCTGAACAACTGACAAATTGCTCAGAGGTGCTCAGGAGTAGCTGTGATGGTCAGGAGTAGCTGTGATGGTCAGGCATTGCTGCACAGCTTAGAACTTGGTCCTTGTTCAGAAGTGCAATGGCAAGGTGCACTGGTTTTCACTGCAGTCAGCTTTTCAATAGGTCATCAGGTTGACCAAAACTGTAGAGCACAGAAACCTCTAAGTTTTCCTTCTTAAGCACCTGCAGCAGCAGGCGCCTGTGTCAGGTGGAGGACGAAGATGAGAAGCTCATCCTGTTATTGCTTTTGTGTGTATGGGACAGACAAGGGGGAGAGCCAAAGGTGCTCACAGAGCACGCTTGACCCTGCTTGGGACTCAGCCAGGTGGAGTGCAGGCTGCTGTTGTGATGCTGAAAACATCAGCTCCGGTCGTCCTGATGGCTTTCCTATTTACTATCTTTGAAATTTACAGTAGTTCACAGTCCCTGATTTGCATTCAGAAAGAAGACTGGAAGTGGCCGCCTTTTGTCTGCCAACCCCGGCTCTTCTCAGAGCTGCCATTGCCTAGGCAGTGTCTGTACCACTCCATGGCTAGCTGGACCTTCCCAGCCTGCACCACCCTGGCACAGCACTGCTTCCGTCGATTCTTTAGAGGTGCGGGGCTCTGTAGCTCCACTGGGACAAGGGGAAAGTCGCACCAGTGTGGGGACAGCTCTTTACCAGTCCTCTCATCCACAGCTGCCAGGCCTCTGCCTCCATCTTCTGTTTCCTGCTTGTCCAGTGAGTCTCGGTTGTCCTCCCCTCCTGTTTCTAATGCTCTAAACTTCTGCCCCCTGTGTGAGGCGCGTCCCACAATGCACCTCATCTACAGTCCTCCTGCTTTGGTCCCCCAAGTGCTGGGATTACAGGCCCCTGGCACCGCATGGCATTTCTAAGACCCACTCTCCTCCAGGCCTCCCTTTCCCACACTCCCCTGCCTCTTCTAGGATCTGAGTCAGTATCTATCTCTGGTTCTGTGACCCCCTTCTCCTTCCCTGTGTCTGGTTCTGTCCTTCACCCTGTAAACATAGTTCTTCCCTAGTCTAGAAAATCTTATTCCCTTTGGAGCTTTTATCCTGCCCTTGACCAACTTCTTGAAAAAACCCTACATGGTGTGCTTCTAAGTCTTCAGCCTTTTTTACTTTCCACTAAGGCTGGATTCCACCCCATCAGTCTATCCAAACTGCCCTTGCTAAGGTCGCCACTGATGACCTCCTCCTCCCCATCCTTCCTCTCCTCCTCCCCATCCTTCCTCTCCTCCTCCCCATCCTTCCTCTCCTCCTCCCCATCCTTCCTCTCCTCCTCCCCATCCTTCCTCTCCTCCTCCCCATCCTTCCTCTCCTCCTCCCCATCCTTCCTCTCCTCCTCCCCATCCTTCCTCTCCTCCTCCCCATCCTTCCTCTCCTCCTCCCCATCCTTCCTCTCCTCCTCCCCATCCTTCCTCTCCTCCTCCCCATCCTTCCTCTCCTCCTCCTGGAGAACTGAACCCAGCTAAGCATGTATTCTACTTCTGAGCTACACCTATAGCCCAAACAATAACTTTTTCATCTTTTCAGTGCTGGAGACCGAACCCCAGACCTTGAGCAAGCTGGACAAACAATCTATGACTGAACTACATCTCCAGCCAACAAAGATTTTCTTAACTGTCAGTTTATTAATTGATGTATGTTTGTTCTTCACTGGAGTAGATCAGCCTCCTGGTACTCAGCCAGTTTTGGTAACTACTCCTTAAAACTTGTGGTTTGGTTGGCTTTTCTGGTCTCCTCTGACTTCTCACTTCGTGGTCAGTCCCTAATATTAGTGTGCCCAGGATTTTGCCTTTGACCCTGATGCCCAGCCTCTTGATCATCAGTTTCCTCTCAGGAGTTTTTTTTTTTTCTGGGAGGGATGTGTGCCATGACCAAGGCATCACTACAGAACCAGAAACTGTCAGAACTCTTGGGTTTCCAACAGTTCACAGTCTTGACTCGGAGGAATCCATTTCTAATTGTAGAAGTTCAAGCATTGGGCCTTGGAGGGTTGGATGGTGCTGACTCTTAACAATGACTCACCCCTTCCCTGTTTCAGAACTCAGACAATTGAAGGCCATAGAACTGTGGTTCATAAAGACTGTGCATCCACAGGGCTGCCCCACGGTTCATTCCAGTGTCTCACCCGTCTCCATGTGTAGCTATGATCCATTGCTCTGTGCTGCTCTGTGTGTGCTCACTGCAGGGACACACTATCATATCCACATTCTATAAAGATGGCTTCTGATCTTGTCTCCTTGTGCAGGAATTTCTTCAGGACTATGTGTGTCTTGAAATTTGCTAGTCAAGTGTACATTCCAAAGATTGTACCAACGTACATTCTCTCTTTTTCAATTTTTTTTAAACAGGGTCTTGCTATGTAGCTCTGGCTGTCCTGGAAATCACTATGTAGACTAGACTGACCTCTAACTCATAGAGATCTGCCTGCTTCTGCCTTCCCAGTGCTGGGATTAAAAGCATGCACCACCACTCTCCAGGCCCAAAGTACATGCTTACAAGCATGTGTCATAGTCCCCAATGCTTTCAACATAAGCAAAAAAACATGCCTAGCCATCCAGTTCTTGATTGCCAGGCTGCCGTATGCTGCAGAAATGCCTCCTGTGGCTGGGTACAAACTGACCTGGTCTCTGGTGTTTGAGTCCAGCCTCACTATCTCAGGCTTCCTGTTAGAGCCAGCTGGGTGATGTCACCATGGTCTACAGTGATGCTCTTTCCAGCTTTGCTGGTCCTGGGACTCTCTCCTCCATAGTGCCTGCTGAAAGGGCCAGAAATATAATTTGTGAGACCTAGCACCAGTTAAAAGGTCTGGTAACCTATTTCACAAGAGCAGAAAAAACATTGCCACAGCCTCCCTTCACCTGCAATGGGTAGTTAACATTTGCTATTCCATGTTACACTTGCTCAGTACTCATAGCTGAGGCATAGACCCACAGAGAGCCTGAGGCCTGACCCCATAGTTAGCACAAAGGCCCAATACTTCCCGTGCCTAGGTCCAGACCCCTACTAAGCTGGGTGCCATCACTGGGTGGCAACTGTAGGCAGGGAAGGGAAGAGGAGAAGAGACCAAAGGCAGGGGCTCAAATGAGTGGAGACCTCTAGTCTCCATCGCATTTCATGTTTTCCCATCAAGCATCACTCCTAAAACAGAAAGCCAAGCCAGGCATGATGGCATGCGCCTTTAAGTCCTGCACTTAGGAAGTAGAGGCAGGAAGGTCAGGAGTTGAAAGTCCACTTTGGGCTACATAAGACTCTGCAAAACAAACAAACAAACAAACAAAAAAAAACCCAAAATCCAAATGAAAAATAACAAAACAACGAAAGCAAAAACAAACACATGCACACAAAGGTAAAATTACTAAGGGTTTCAAGACCAGGACTACAGAGTATCTGTCCTCAAGCTCAGTGCTCTATTGCTGCCCTGCCTGCACTCTCTGGATGACACCCTGTGAGGGTGTTGGTCATGAGTGTGGCACACTGATCATGATTTCTACAAAAAGATCCCCAAGCCATCAAGTCTCTGTCTATTTGGACTTTTTATGAGTCCCTTTCTCCCTCAATGGCCACAGCCATGGAACTTAATCCTTCTCTTGGTCCTCTTCGTTTCTGGTAAGTGGAGCAGTGTGTTTTGTTCATTACTGTCGCAGTCAAGCCACCAAGGCTTCAGGGAGCAAAATACGCCTGAAAACTAACCATTAGGGGAGAATGTGGCCTGGTGACAGAGTGCTTGCCTGGCATGTGAGGCTCTGGGTTCAATACCTAGCAATAATAACAGTAACAACAGCAACAACAATAATATGCCATTCAGTGGGAAAGTACAGAAACTCCCAGGACAGACAAAAAAGTAAACTCTAGTTAATCCTTGTCTGATCTAGTGAAATCGACAGGATAATTGCCAGGAAAAGTAAAGTGACTAAGAAAGCTATGCTCCAGCCTAAACCATAAGTAAGAAATAGCGTAAGGCCAGGCATAGTGGTGCATACCTGTAATTCCAGCCCTTGAGACAGTGAGGATTGAGAATTTTAAAAACCAGTGATGGGCTACGGGGTAAGAGCCTGTGTCAAAACAACAGCATCAAATGTTTCAAGAATTTTAAAAACCAGTGATGGGCTACGGGGTAAGAGCCTGTGTCAAAACAACAGCATCAAACGTTTCTGAACAAATTTCTCTTAAAGACTATTAGATCATTTTCTCACCAAAAATTATTGAGAAAAGCAAAACTAACACCGACTTCTGCTCAACAGAAATGAATAAAGTGAGCTGAAATTGGATATGGGTCAGAATGGAAAAAAATTCTGGAGTTGCTTGAGAAGGGGTAAAGACTTCGTAGAATAAATATTCTAGCCATTTTGAAATAAGTATTTGACAAGAAAGGGCATTTCTAGGAGCTAGAGAGATGGCTTGCTACTCTTCTAGAGAACCTGGATTCCATTCCCAGCACCCACATGACAGCTCACAACTGTCTGTAACACCAGCTCCAGGAGATCTGACACCCTCTTCAAGCTCCTCAGGCACCAGGCATGCATGGTGCACAGATATTCATGCAGGCAAAACATCTATACACATAACATTATTTTTTAGTTTAAAGGCATTTCTAAAAATGAATTTGGTTTCGGTTTTTTTCTTCCTTCTCCTTTAAAAATTGTTGGAGCTAACATATTGTTATTTCAATCCATGGAAGACTTCCAAAATAGAGCTTAGTATATCCAAGACCCTCCACCCCCAACAAAAGCCTAGAAATTTGAAAATTGGGGCTGAGGAAATGGCTTAGCAGTCAAGAGCATTTACTGCTCTCCCAGAGGACATAAGTTCAGTTCCCAGCGCCCATGTCAGGAGCTCCCAGCTGCTTATAACTCCAGTGCCAACGATATCAGACACCTCTGTCTCTTTGGACAACTGTACTCATGTGTGTGTGTATACACACACACACACACACACACACACACACACACACACACACAGGAAATGAATGATAAATAAATATAATTTTAAATATTAAAAATAATAAGGTAGAGCCAGTGAGATGCTCTTATGGGTATGGCGGTTTGAATGAAAATGGCCCCCACAGCTTCATAGGGAGTGGCATTATTTGAAAGGATTAGGATTTGTGGCCTTGCTGGAGGAAGTATGTCACTGGGAGGATGGGCTTTAAGATTTCAGAAGCTCAAGCCAGGCCCAGAGGCTTTCTCTTCCTGCTGCCTTCAAATCCAGATGTAGAACTCTTAGCTATCATATCTGCCTGCATGTTGCTGTGCTCCCCACTACGAGGATAATGGGCTAAACCTTTGAAACTGTAGGCAAGCCTCAATTAAATGCTTTCTTTTTTAAGCATTGTATGGTCATGGTGTCTGTTTCTTCATAGCAATTGAACACTGGCTAAGACAATGGGTAAAGGAGCTTGCTTCCAAAGCCAGTGTGACCTGAGTTCAATCACTGGAACCCACAAAAAAGTAGGTTTGTCAGCCGGGCGGTGGTGGCGCACACCTTTAATCCCAGCACTTGGGAGGCAGAGCCAGGCAGATCTCTGTGAGTTCGAGGCTAGCCTGGACTACAGAGTGAGTTCCAGGAAAGGCACAAAGCCACACAGAGAAACCCTGTCTCGAAAAACCAAAAAAAAAAAAAAAAAAAAAAAAAAGTAGGGTTGTCCTCTGAACGCAACATGAATGGCATGGTATGCACACACAAAATAAATGAATAGAAATGGGACCGATCCTGAGGAACAGCACCTGAAGTTGACCTCCAGCCTATACGCGCACACACACACACACACACACACACACACACACACACACACACATACACACACACGAGAACACACAAGGCACACGTGCATTCTCACCCACACCCACGTGAACCCTCACATCCATGTGTGTTTATGCATTTTTACAATTACCCCATTTCACCTTACTAGCTTGGGAGAAAGTGTAAGACAAAACTTTTCTTGGGGAGGGAGACGTAACACACACAGATACTCACCCAGTAAAGGAACCCATGACAGACCAAAGCAAGAAGACCACCAAAGTCCAATTTATAAACCAATGAGTTTATTGGGGATACTTATAGGAATATGGGTGAGGGGTCACTTACAGGAATATGGGTGAGGGGTTACTTACAGGAGCGGAAATGACTCAAAGACAACTGCATCACCAAGGCCCACCCCAGCATGGGTGACAGCTCACAAAAACTGGGAACCCGGTGCACACTGCCTATTCTGCAGGCAGTTTAACAGATTGGAAAGTGTCGTTTCCAGGTGCCTCAGTTGATCTTAACCTCTTCGAGGCAGCTCAGCTGGTTTCTACATCTTCCAGGCAGATAATCTGGTCTGAGGCTTCTTTGAAGTGTTTCTCCTCAGAGACTCTTCTTTGCAGCTCGCTTTACTTCCTTTGAATGGCATTCTGGGGGTGGGGAGGATATCTTAGTGAATCCGGTCAGTTTCAGGGACTTCCTGAAGCTATTTTGAGTCGTTTACCTTCCTGCTTATGCTTCCTAACCGGATGCAATATTTCAATCTCAGAGGACACTCTTTTCTTTTGAAGAACAGGAGTGAAACAGCATTTCGGAGAGGGAGGAAGCCGAGTGTTCTTCAGCATGACTTGCTTTAGACTGCCTCTCATTTCTCGGTTCTCTTTTCTGGGCCATGTGGAGAGAACTGGCTGATGTCAAAGGAAGGCCATTAGTGTTCTGTGCCTGCACATCAGCCACACAGAGTTTCAGGGGAAGTGCTTCTCTGGCAGGAGATGAATGGCCCCCAACAGCACAAGTGGGAGAGAGGCTCCCCAGTGTATCCTGACATAAACAGTAAAGGTTTTACTAAGCAGGACCCTGATTCCAGGAGAGAAGCATCCTCCCAGAATCCCACAGCAAATTGTGGCAGAATCCTGCCCCAGCAATGGGCTTTTTGTGGTCTTTGTGCCAGTCAGCATGGGCCACGCAGCTGCAGCTATCAAGGGATGACTCTTTCAGGACTGGTGGCCGTGGGCATCTCAGTATCATTTTCATTTAGTTAGGACCTTGAAGCCACATGCTCCTTGGGAGTTGATTGTATGTTTGCAAAATGGAATGAAGTCTTTGAAGTTTGAGTTTACTCATGAGTAAGTGCCTTGTGTCTCACTCCAATTTTGCTCCAGATTCGGCTTGATGAATAGGTGGGAACAGTTATGGGGAAGTCCCTCTGGGCAGGTTTACTAACTGCATCTTTGTGGCCTGTGGGATCTAAAAAAAACTTTCTGAAGTGCCATGCTCAGAGTGCCTCACCCTGCGCGAGACCTGGCTCTAACTGCGAGGCCAGCAAATGCACTCTCTCTTTCGAGCCTTCGGTTAGCAGCCCCTGTCCCAGTTCTTGGGTCACTGGGATGCTTTTCCCATCTATCTGTGCTTTGCTCTGACCCTTCAGGACACCTGTGGTGTGGCTGATGATGTGGCTCAGTAAGTAGGTAAAGATGCTTGCCACCAAGCCTGATGACCTCAGTTTGATTCCTAGGACCTTCGTGGTAGAAGGATAGGGCCAACTCCTACTAGTTGACTGATTGATCTCTGACCTCACACATGCTGTGGAATGGATGCACCACCCCCAACACACACAATAAATGAATAAAAAAATCAAGGAGGAGGGGGAGGAGGGGAAGAGAGGAGGAGGAGGAGGAGGAGGAGGAGGAGGAGGAGGAGGAGGAGGAGGAGGAAAACAACAATGGCAAAAGAGAAGCCAATCTTGACAGTCGCCCTATCAGCTATCTTGATTTCCTGCAGTCTCCCCAAGAT